AGAAACACACGTTCTCAGAGTGAAGGAGCTATTAGCAATCAGAGCCATGTCTCACTTCTGGGAATGAATACGTTCTGAACAAGATGTTCTCCAGGATAAAGAAAAGACCGTGCTGGTGGATAATCACAACTCCAGCCCACCACGGTGCTTTCATCTCTCACTTCTGCTCTGAGTGTTGGGAGATTTCAAGACGTGGGAGAAAGCTTTTACATTTTGTTCAATTGCTGTAGATGGCATGCATCCAATTCCACATCCACAGCTGTGCGCCCTTCGCTTCTTAAGCTTGTACATCACTCATCCTGCAAGCTATAAATCAAAACATAATCTTCTATACATATCCGCAAAATGATGGAACCTCTTACGTTTTTTTCTCTATAGTTCCTCATCTATATCCCATTTGGTCTTTTAGAAAGGATCCAACCTCGAGCTACGTACATGTACTCTTTACTTACGTTCCTCCCTTTCCAAGCTTTCCAAGTCCTCCAGCACCTGGATCTGCTAGTTTAGTGATATCCTGGAGACAGGGAAGTCCACTGGGCGTTCACACACACACTACGTCCCGCTTCCCGTCTGTATGTCCGTATCACCAGAGAGCGCTCTGTGTGCGCAGCCAGGAGCCCGCTGAGGGATGTGAAATGGATAACCTGGGGCCTGGGAAACCTGCCAGCACTGCCAGTAAACCCCCCCCCCCCCCATAACATCACCGCCGCTTGCCCTGCCTTTCCTGGGCTGTGATGTCATCCTGCACACGCCCCCTAAACACAGCGAGAGGAAGGTCTCAGTTATTGAATGAGCACCCTCCTCCTCTCTCTTTCACTTTGTTGTTCTTGCTGTCCCATTCCTCAGCTCAGTTCTTTCAGCCTCCATACTTTCCATTTGCTTGCAACAATTTCCCTTCATTCAAACTGCTGCACTTTCCAAAGATCACAAACAAACATGGCAAGATGTGACCTGCTGTACACTGCTCTGTAATGCCCAATTACTACTTTATTTCATTCATTCCATCTCAAGTGTTAGTCATCTCAAACTGTGCAGTATGGCTTTCACATGCCCTAAAGACACCTTTAATACTGGATGTACATTGATTGACAAAACTGGTCCAAAAAGTACAAAATAAAAATCCCAGATTGACATTTTCAACTTTTTCTCTAATGTTATCCAGATAATAAATTAAATGTTTGGCACAATAATCAGCAAATGTGAACATTACCAACAACTTCACACTTCTACAAATGAAACACTGAGTGATTCAACTAATGTTTAGTTAGGTGTAAGGTACAACAACCAGGAACTACAATCATTAGTAGCATGACTGCGTGCCTCTGCACTCCTTTAATAATACTATTAATAATAATAATAATACATGATATTTATATAGCGCTCAAAGACACTTTACTATAGATGTTACTTAAGAGACACTTTTATCCAAAGGGACTTACATGAACGCAATACTGTGGAAATACCCAGAGGAGTCATTTAAAGGTCTATCATACTGTTTTTCATCAATATATTATAGGTCTCAGATATATACAAACATGTCTCTGATTGGCTGAAACACCAAACAGATCGTTGCAGCATTACCCATAATCCCCTCTGTTTCAGCCCTGTTTCCAAAGTGCTGATTCTCTGTCTGTTACTTTAGATGAAAATAAGGAGCCCCTCCCCACGCCCCTCTGAGAGAGATTTGGTTAAAAATAACACAATGGTGCTCTAGGAGGAGATTCAGGTGATAAGGTGGGGGGGGGGGGTTACCTTGGTTGCTGATTGGCTAATGGTTACACAAGACAAAACATCGTTATGACATCATAAAGTGACCAAAATCTGATCAGCTCATTTTCAGACAGGTTTTTATAGAAATAGATCAGGACAAAAAGAGAGAGAATCTTTGTTCCTGAAACTTTCAGAGTCTCTTTACACAGAGGGGACACATGTTGACGTAGAAGAGACATGAAGAAGAGGGGACACATGTTGATGAAGAAGAGACATGAAGAAGAGGGGACACATGTTGACGTAGAAGAGACATGAAGAAGAGGGGACACATGTTGATGAAGAAGAGACATGAAGAAGAGGGGACACATGTTGACGTAGAAGAGACATGAAGAAGAGGGGACACATGTTGATGAAGAAGAGACATGAAGAAGAGGGGACACATGTTGATGAAGAAGAGACATGAAGAAGAGGGGACACATGTTGACGTAGAAGAGACATGAAGAAGAGGGGACACATGTTGACGTAGAAGAGACATGAAGAAGAGGGGACACATGTTGATGTAGAAGAGACATGAAGAAGAGGGGACACATGTTGATGTAGAAGAGACATGAAGAAGAGGGGACACATGTTGATGTAGAAGAGACATGAAGAAGAGGGGACACATGTTGATGTAGAAGAGACATGAAGAAGAGGGGACACATGTTGATGTAGAAGAGACATGAAGAAGAGGGGACACATGTTGATGTAGAAGAGACATGAAGAAGAGGGGACACATGTTGATGTAGAAGAGACATGAAGAAGAGGGGACACATGTTGATGTAGAAGAGACATGAAGAAGAGGGGACACATGTTGATGTAGAAGAGACATGAAGAAGAGGGGACACATGTTGATGTAGAAGAGACATGAAGAAGAGGGGACACATGTTGATGTAGAAGAGACATGAAGAAGAGGGGACACATGTTGATGTAGAAGAGACATGAAGAAGAGGGGACACATGTTGATGTAGAAGAGACATGAAGAAGAGGGGACACATGTTGATGTAGAAGAGACATGAAGAAGAGGGGACACATGTTGATGTAGAAGAGACATGAAGAAGAGGGGACACATGTTGATGTAGAAGAGACATGAAGAAGAGGGGACACATGTTGATGTAGAAGAGACATGAAGAAGAGGGGACACATGTTGATGTAGAAGAGACATGAAGAAGAGGGGACACATGTTGATGTGGAAGAGACATGAAGAAGAGGGGACACATGTTGATGTAGAAGAGACATGAAGAAGAGGGGACACATGTTGATGTGGAAGAGACATGAAGAAGAGGGGACACATGTTGATGTGGAAGAGACATGAAGAAGTGGATTTTGCACAATAGGTGACCTTTAAGGTGAAGAGTCTTGCCCAAGCACACAGCGACATGCTGACTGCAGTGTCAAGGTGGGATTGAACCGGTGCTCACCTGATCTGAAGATGAGTGCACTGAGCCACACCCCCCAAAAATATAACCATTACATAAAGCCTGCTGCTCTGCCGCAGATCAGAACACTGTGCAGTTAGAAATGTCAGTGCAGATCCCAAAATATCCAAACATACCAAATATGCAAGGCTGAATTCTGAGGAGAAGTGTGTCAAAGGATGCAAAAGAACTATTGTAAATAACTAAATAAAAGGTTTTTGCCTAAAAATGTTTCTGGCTGATCAAACTTCATGTAGCTGATGTGATGAGCAGAACCAAGCCGATACTCTCAGTCAGTGGGGGTTGGGATAACAGGCACATTTTTTCAAGATTTTGCCAATATAAAATCTATGTACGCAAACGCTCAAAATCGGTTTAAATCAGTAGCAACCCACAACCTTACACATCTCGACAAACAGTTTGATCAGCGTAGTTGCCCTTGAAACAAGACTTCGATGCAGACCTCGATGCAGATATGTGCTATAGGGACTCATTTCTGTACGTATATCGTGTATAGAGACAATCATTAGAACTGGTTTGCGTATAATTGGATATGTAATAAAGCCCATATACAAAATCAATAATATGAAGTAAGTTTTTGGAAAGCTTTGAGAAGCTCAAACTGCTTGATGTGTGTCTGAACACCACTCCAGAAACTCTGCATTGCAAAATCAGAATAACACACAGACATCATGACCTGGGTTTAAAAATATCAGATTTGTCACGATGTCATGATTTCGGTGCCTTGGGCAGCTCCATGACGACAGCTATCCAATTACTGACCTACTTTTTTAAAGAAAGGAAATGCATTTGTAGCATTTATCAAATCTGCCACTTCAAAAAGAATAAACAATGGAACGAAAGATGACCTGTCAACTATCCAACTATGCAAATGTTGTTTTAAATACAGTATGTGGTGAGTATTCATAATTATGAGAGAACAGAAAAGACTCTGAAGCAAAAGAGAAGGACAATCTGCTGCATTGATTACAATACTGAAATGGAGAGTGGGGATTTATGATATGAAATTAATGTGCTTTGAAAAGGGCAGGAGGGCATTATGAAGCCAAGGTAGCCATTTCAAGAGAGGCAGTAGAGACCCACTTAAGCGCCTGCAGGAAATGAATACGCTTCTGTTTTTCATTATGTCAAAACAACCCAGAGAAAGAAATGCCAATGTCCTCACTACGAAGTAACTCTAGAAAATGATTAGGCACTGTAGGAGTAAATCCATTTTTTATTCACTGTTAGCAACAAGAGAGCCAGAGACTGCTGCGCCTTTTGGTTGCCATAGAAACCACATAAATGATAGGCCAGTTGCTGCTTATGCTGCATTATAAAAAAAATGCCATTGACTTTGCTGGGATTTCTGATGATTTCACCATGATGTGAAAATAACCTGCCACCATTAATCATTTCCCATAATCCTCTTGTGTTACTTGGATAACACAGGTGCATCCTCCTACTCCAATTAGAGGAAGTCTCCCACAATTCCCTTTCACCTTTCACCTTTATATGTACTGCACCTTTAAGAGAGAACACATTATTGATATGAACGTCTATAAATCATATGTACAGAATGGTTACATTATTTTTCTGTTACTTGCTTTTCTTTCCTTTTTTTTATTCTCAATTCAAACTCAAGGATCCCTCACAAATTGCGGATTTGAACGATTGCATCGTTTCAACACGGGGTATCTGATCGTCTTATGAATTAGCTGTTAAAATGTGTATGCGTTTGTGAGCAACCCGTAGTTTAACGCGTAACGAGCATTATCAAACAGCAGCGCATTCAGAGCCTTATCCGGGGATGTTAGCAGAGGAATGTCGGCTCACCTGGGCTGAAATGGGAGCTGAGGGCAGAGCCGGTGCTGAAAAAGCCTGAAGACATCGCCACCAGGATCACCAACATCTTCACAACCGATGAAAAGCAAAAGAGTAAAAATGCAGGAATTGAAACTCAAGAAACTAGGCAACACTATTTCTTGAACACAGCCTCGTTTCTCCTCTCTGAACCGGCCCCGGGTGTTTTCCCAACGCGCCCCTCCATGTTCGCACCGTTGTGATGAATATATACTGCTCCTCTGCAGGCTGAAGCCGGTGTATATGATTTGTCCTCCTGAACTCTTCAATAGCTGCAGAGGAAGAGGAGGAGGAGGAGGGCACAGTCCCGGTTAACAGCAGTCAAGTTCATCCAGAGCTTCACGCGGCACCCGGATGCGGTCTCATCATCTGAGCAGCTCTGACAGGACGAGTTCAGGCACACCTCTGCTCATAAATCAAACGTCTAGTCTTGTTTCGGGAGCTGTCCGAGGTGCTGACAGCAACAGCGCCATCTTGCTCGCTAATGCGCCCATATAGAATTTGTGGAGCGGTTTTTGCGCTCGGTGCGCAGGGGGAGGGGCTGTGGGAGGCTGGTGATAGGCTGCTGCTGCTTGATGCTCAGCTGACTGAAATATACAGTGCTCGATCGGAGAGAGTGGAGCCTATAAGAGTCTATTTTTGCAGAAAAAAGACACTTTCTGTTCTGTTTTGTATTCCGAGGCTGATATCTTCACCTACAGAGAAAAGTATTTGTGACTTCACTGCATGTGTGTTTCTGCAGCTGTCTCCTCCTCTGCCTCAGTTAGATAAGATGAGATATTAAAACATCTCCAGGACTGTGATGTAACACCAGGGAAAGGCACACAGCTCTCCAGACTATCCCCACTCTAATCCTACTGTTCATACATGTTGGAGAGACCCCTTCCCCCCACATGCATCCACTCCTTCTCTTCCCCTGCCTCCCTCATCCTCTCCTCCCATCAAATTCTGGCAGCAGAGGGAGTCAACTTTTCCTTTTTGCATCTTAAACGCTTACTTTGATTCTGATTTTTGATCCACACATGACAGAAATGACAGAAACTGCGAGAGAGGAGATAAAGATCAAGCTCAAATCCAGTCTTTGTCAGAGGGTCCATCAGCACACTGCTTTTATATGCACAGATAAACAGTTATGTTACACATACAGTCTCAAAGGTGTTCTATCTGAACGAGCCATTCAGGCAGCTGAACATGGGGATGCAAATAAGCAATAATGAGCTAAATCAATCTTTTCTCAAACTCCTTCAAGAATTCTTTCTCCATTTTTGTAATTGAATTAGCTGACTGCACTCTATAACCAATATCATTATACCACGGCATTTTTTGGAGGGGAGAATTTGTATTCAGAAAAGCTCTTGCTGACCCTATTCTGAACATCCAGGCATTTAGAATCTTTTTCCACAAACATGTAAGCTGCATTGTGTTATTGAGCTGTATTGGAAGCAAAGACAGCCTTAAGGTAGAGTGCTCTGACGTGATTCATTTTATTATCTTAGTTTTGTTTAAAAACATATGGATCATGATAGGTATTCAAAGTAACAACAGTTTCAGTGTACGCATAACAAACCTCCATCCCTCCAACTCCATCAGAGCAGATCCAGAGTCTGATTTAACTTTAAGTCCAGTCCAGTGAGCGCCAGGTACAACATATCCAGCTCCTTACCTGCAAGCTCAGTATCTGCTGACTTCTTGGCTCTCTCATCCATCTATTACCCAACATCGCTTATCGGGCAAACAACCTAAACAGGTTGCCAGTTTTTGATTGACACATGTAAGCATCTTTCTCAAAAGCTCCATGACCAGAGAAGTGATACAACATTGATTACAATTAAAGATGCTTTTGAAAGATGGAGAAAGTTAACCCTTAGATGCACAAGTGGGTCTTTTTGGACCCGGTGAGGTGGTTTTCTTGAAGTATCTTTGTAATTACATTTTTTTATCATTTCATATTCCAGCTATTCCTCAAAAAACATGTTTTGGATATCATGCCATTCACATTTTAAATTTACATTTTAAGAAATTGTAGTTTTTGTATTTCTACCCCAAGCTTCCATAAGTGGGTAAAAAATACCTGAATAAACTGATACCTGTCAGTATAATAATAATAATAATAATAATAATAATAATAATAATAATACATTATATTTGTATAGGGCTTTTCAAGGACTCAAAATCGCTTTACAACATAAGGGAAGGTTAGGGTGGGGGGTATAGGACTATCAAACTTGATCATGGATTGATGGGGGGTGGGCTATGAGTAGACAAGAGGAGAAGAGATGAGTTTTGAAAAGGGACTGGAATACTGTGAGGGTCTCAGAATAGCGGAGATCTTTGCATCAATATGTTCAAAACGTTTTTTTTCAAAATGTAAAAAGAATGTCTAAAATTATAAATATTGAAAAATGTAATATAAAATATTTCTAGCGTGAACCAAAATATAATACTAAATATAATACAAGTGATTTTTCTTAACCAAAATGACACAAATGGCATAAAAACACATATTATTCTAATACGGGTCCTTTTTGACCCACTTATGGAAGAGTGTAGGGTCCAGTCACTCTAAGGGCATCTAAGGGTTAAAACAGCCAGATGCAAAATTGGCAAATGTTGTACTAAACAGGTGAGCATTGAGCTTCAGCTGAGTTTAACAAACCTTCATTCCTTATGGTGGTTAATGGGGAGGAGTATTTTAATTCGCTAACATTTCATTATGCCTGCACTATCCATCTTTAAGAGGCCCCATTACGCTTGTTGGGGTTTTCCCTTTCCTGTAGTGTGTTTTGTGTAAAGATTTCAAAACGTTAACTAGAATCTCTTTGTTTCCTCCAGATGGAGTTTCTCTCCCACACTCCCCCCTGCCTGAAATGGCTCCATTGGACTCCTTTGATTTGTAAGTAAGACGCTGCAATAGCACTTCGTTTGGCAAGCCCTCCAACCCATTGAACGTGATATGCTAAGGGAGGGGGGGACATCTCTAAGCGGTCGACAAATCACAACAGAGCCAGCCAGCTAACCAATCAGAGCCTCATTAAAGCATAACAATGTGACACTCTGGTATTTAAAGGACCCCAAAGCAGAGGCTGATTCAGGTAAGGTTTTCAAGGTTTTTAATGAGAAATGCTAAAAAGAAAAGGCAGGCAGTGATGGCAGGAAGCTAGCGGGTTAGCAGACATATCGAACCGAGAGAGTTTTCCATGGAAAAAACACTGGAGTTCACAGAAAAAACAGGAGATCAGAAACACAAGGCTCTACGTTACAGAGAGGCACTCAGAGGATTGTATGGAGCAGGTTGATCAGGTGATTGGGGACAGGTGAGCCTCATCTGCAGCCCCCTGCCCCCTGCCTGCAAAGAAGGAGAAACACAGAAGGGAGGAGGGAGAGAGCATGCACCAAAGAACCAAAAAATAAACCACAAAAACAAAGATGATGGCATGTCACAGTAGGGGCACAAAATATGAATATGGATCTAAAAACAGCGCACAATAGGGCCCTTTAAACACTATTTCATTCCAACATGATGTTCCTTTGAATAACACTAAGTTAATTTCTCCTGATCAACTCCAAATGCAGCATCTGTGTTCAGATTCACTCGCTTTATGGTCAACGATGCACCCCAAAGCAATACAAAAGAAATGTACATAGTTAAATAGGAAAAACGACATAAAGTCTCCATTAGTCTCAGCTTAATGCACATTGTCATCGTTTTTTAAACTCTGCCTAAAGGATGAATTGCTTGTTAAATGATGTATGAATAAATGATTCTGCATAAATTGAAAACACTCATTTGTTATGTTTCTACACATCTATATTAAGGATTTCCTTAATGTGTCACCTGTCAGAGGAAACAGAGCTCAGCTATTAGTAACCAGGACATCATTGAGCTCTCCTTTTGTGCATTACTGAATGTGATGTCATAGCTGTATAGACAGAGAGAGCAGAGGAATGAGCAGAGGATGATGTATGGCCTGTCCTCCCTGTCTTTGATTCCATTTCAGACCCATTTACTTTGTAATGGAGTCTCTGTAATGCATAAGAACTCATGGAGGAAGAGGAGGAGGAGGAGGAAGGCCACAGTCTATATTTCACATACAGGTTCCTATTTTTGGACGTTTGATTTCTCTGACAGGAATATTCCTTCTCAATCTTTTTTTCACTCCCCCTCCGCCCCCTCCTCCTTTTGTTTCTCTGTCTCGTCACGTCATATTTCTCTCTTTGATACATTGTGCATGTCTGCCGTTTCCGTGGAAACAGAAAGGAGAGGAGAAGATGGAATTCTGGGTTCAGATCATAGACTGTATATCTAAAGGTTGAGATGCGATTGTGCTCTCCAGTCACTTCACATCTTACATCCGACGTGATAAGCATCAAGTAAACTGCAGTATATCCCTGTGTATAGTTTGTAATCAGCACAAAGCTAATAATAACACATGCCTGAAGTCAGCAGGAGAGGACTCTTTAAAGTAGAGACACAACATACTGATATGAACCTGAAGTCAGCAAGGAGAGGACTCTTTAAAGTAGAGACACTACATACTGATATGAACCTGAAGACAGCAAGGAGAGGACTCTTTAAAGTAGAGACACTACATACTGATATGAACCTGAAGTCAGCAAGGAGAGGACTCTTTAAAGTAGAGACACTACATACTGATATGAACCTGAAGTCAGCAAGGAGAGGACTCTTTAAAGTAGAGACACTACATACTGATATGAACCTGAAGACAGCAAGGAGAGGACTCTTTAAAGTAGAGACACTACATACTGATATTAACCTGAAGTCAGCAAGGAGAGGACTCTTTAAAGTAGAGACACTACATACTGATATGAACCTGAAGTCAGCAAGGAGAGGACTCTTTGAAGTAGAGACACTACATACTGATATGAACCTGAAGACAGCAAGGAGAGGACTCTTTAAAGTAGAGACACTACATACTGATATGAACCTGAAGTCAGCAAGGAGAGGACTCTTTAAAGTAGAGACACTACATACTGGTATGAACCTGAAGACAGCAAGGAGAGGACTCTTTAAAGTAGAGACACTACATACTGATATGAACCTGAAGACAGCAAGGAGAGGACTCTTTAAAGTAGAGACACTACATACTGATATGAACCTGAAGACAGCAAGGAGAGG